TTTAAGGTGATTTTTAACATAAACTAATAAACCGCCACCTCCCCCTGTCTCTCCATTTCTTCTGAAAACATTGTATTCTGGCAAATCCACAGCTGCAGATGGTGATTTTGCATTCAAGCAACCTATAGATATGGTTATTATATTAATATTTGAGTCACCTAAAATATGTTCTGTTAATTCTGTTTTGTTCACAATACTATTAAATAAATTTTGCACCATTGAGGCTAAAAAAAATATAATCTCCATGTTCCCATTTGGCCAAAGGAAGATCACTTAACAACAAGCTGACCTCTGCATGAAATGACAGGGTCTAAAAATAAAACAGTGTTGGCTAACTGTAGCGCTAATAATGGTGTGTCTCTCACAGTATGGCTTACTTCAGCAGAGGCACAAGGTCGGTGATCTGCTTCAGTTTCTTGATGTCCTCATCTCTGCATGGGGCGCATAGAGAACCCATCATTTCAATGATAAACTGGGACAGCTGGCCGATATCTAGAGCTCCGTTTTCAGCCTGCTGCTGGATTAGCGGCAGATCAAGAACCTCTTCGATGCGGGAATGAAGGCGTCCGTGGCCGGACAGCAAAAAAGACTGCAGCGTCTGGATGGGAGGTTGTAAAGGGAAAAGATACAAACGTTGGAGAATGAATAACTGACTGATGTCTGTTATGTGAGAGGTAGTAGTAACTCAGATATATCAAAGTATAGATTGGTCACCCAGTCAAAGGCAGCCTGAAGTGACCCAATCAGATTTTTTGGCCCATATGCGACCTGGATCTGATCTTTTTATGGCAGTCTGAACGACACAGATCAGATTTTTTCCAATCTATGTGGCTATGTGGTCCTGAATATGATACGAATCTGTTCTTTTCCAATGCGACCTGCGTCTGAACGGCCTGGTTGCATTCATCCGACCTGAACGCCATTAATACCCGACAAAGGTCACTATTCTGGGTCTTGTTATGAAGAGGCGGCAAGAAAAACAACAACCATGGCAGACGATGATGCGGAGAGCAGTATTTATGTTTCACCATATTCAAAAGATTGAGTTTTATGGTTGAAATATGGAAGCACTACCTTCCATATTTACTTCCGTAAACACAGAGCAAGCTGGCCTGTGATGTCATTGCATCTTCTACTGCGCATGCGGGACACTTGCTTTGTATGATTGCAGCTCACACAGGAGATCACATACAAGTCGCATATATTTGAAAATGTGAACAGCAACGCAAAAAAATCGGATTTCACAAAAAAAAAAAAATCAGAATTGAGCATCAAGGCCTGCAGTGTGAACGCAGCCTAAATGACCATCTCTGAAACTCAGTTATAGATAAAAACTGAATTATCTGTTTTTTTCTGAAGACTTGATCCAATAAATGCTATTATAGTACAACAGTGGAGACGAATAAAGAAGTTCCAGCTTTTCATTTTTTAAAACAAGGTTTTAATAGCTTTAAATCATATTTTTTCAGACTGTGATAGTCTTTTAAGGTGTTTGCTTTGACTTTACCTTATTTTTGTAGAACCCCTGATGGGATTACTTGCAGTCTAGCGCTGAAACAATCAGATTAATCGTGATAAATTGATTATTAAAAATAATCGTAATATAGTAATCTATTGATCGTTAACTGGAGTGTAGAGACTGTAGAGCATTTAGCTGCTTTTTCAGGCTTCTTTATTGCGATGTTCTGTTTGGTTCTTTTTCCCTCTGAAATAAAAATTGCGTCTTCAATCTCAAGGCCACATCATCATTTCCTGCACAGCTGATTGGCTGCTGGGTGGAATGTTTTTTAGCATTCAGATCAATCCTGAAAGCTAGCCTGACCCGGAGCAGGATTGCGTTCAGAGTACGTCACCACGGTGACTAGCCTTGCTAAGAATGAATCCAGCTTCGTGTTACGGATGCATAGATGGACTGATAGGATGCAACTGATGTTTCCCAAAGATAGTTGTGAATAAAGTCAGTAAATCTAAATAATCTTTTTTATACTATATTATGTTTATTTTATTACAACTACGCAGCCCTAAAACAAACATTTTAATCAACCATCACACCTGAGATCTCATCCAGAGAGCGATTTTTTTTTGTTTTTAAATCTACATGTTTAAAAATCAGTTATATATTAAAAAAATCTGAATCTAATAAAAATCTTATATTGAAATTAAAAAGCAAAGTAAACTAATGGAGAAAATTGCTTTTTAATGAGCCACAGAGGAATGTCTATAACGAGGAAGGCATCATCGGTCTGCCAGCTTCACCGACCTGCAGCTTTTGCATGCATCCCGTCTTCAACACACCTGAAAAAAATGCTAAGGAGGCAATTTGGTCTTTTGTTTCAGATGTGCTGAAGCAGGGAGGCAAGCAAAAGCTGCAGGACAGTGGCACCCGAGGACTCGTGTTGCTCACCCCTGGTTTATACAGTCATGCTGAGATTTATCCATAGTGTCGTCTTTAACAGGTGATTACATTTGTTTAAATGTAGCTTCGTATGGACAATACTTATGAAAAACTTAAACCGTGGAGACCTTTAATCCAAGATCTCATCATAGATCTTAGACAACTTTTATTTAGTAAACACAGAGTGTATACAAAATGAAATTTCGCAGCTTTTCAGACAGTAAATGAACATTTCCATTCCATAAATGTAAACAGCGTGGGAGAAAAAAAAAAAACCTGAGCTGGGAGAGAGAAAGAAAATATAAAGACAATTTACAGATCAGACAAAACTCTTGAGATATCTGATGAAAATATGATGAATTCTGAATATTTGCAGAAGAATCTAACTTGATTGCGAAAATAATTAGGACACTTTCAATACAACAACTAACACTTTATGACTGCATAAAAGACTTTAAACCAAATTCAAGTACAAGTTTAGAGTCGATGTTAGAATTTTGCCATTTTCTTATTAAGCGTGTCATAAATGTGTTATTGTGTTGTTCTAATTGTGTAAGAAGTCTCCCAACCGTTGTGTTTTTTTTAATAATTGAACTTAACAGATCTCACAATGGAGAAATTAACTCTAGATTTAACCCGCATCCTTGGGGAGCAGTTTCTGGCATTATTTAGTTATTTTTCCTGTTCAAGTCTCAACACATGTCAGTTCCTGCATTAAAGGAATAGTACACCCAAAACATGATAAGCCTTCATTTTCTACTCACCCCCATGCTGAACAACACTCTG